GCTTTTTGCCTGAAAATGGCCAAAAATGACCTATTTTGAGTCCCTTATAAATTATGCATATTTTTTCAAAAGGTGTGAAAATGGCCTAAAATCCATCAAAACCATGGGCTATAGTCCATGCTTTTTGCCTGAAAATGGCCAAAAATGACCTATTTTGCATCCCTCATAAATTATGCATATTTTTTCAAAAGGTGTGAAAATGGCCTAAAATCCATCAAAACCATGGGCTATAGTCCATACTTTTTGCCTGAAAATGGCCAAAAATGACCTATTTTGCATCCTTCATAGATTATGCACATTTTCTCAAAAGGTGTGAAAATTGCCAAACATCCATCAAAACCATGGGCTATAGTCCATGCTTTTTGCCTGAAAATGGCCAGAAGTGATCAATTATTTATCCCTCATAAATCATGCATATTTTTTCCAAAGGTGTGAAAATGAAAATATTTTTCATGTTGGAATAAACTATCGCCTATCACCTTTGACAATGACAACGTTTTTAAAAATAGGTTTATTCTTTCAAAGCCCATACCTGTAGTAGATTTTCATGGGATTCCACTTCTTYGGCATCTGAGATATCTGTAGTCTCGATCAGTCTCATCGCATCCTCCTTATCACACAGCCAATCAAACAATCGCCTTTCCTGTTCGCGGAAGTTATCCCAGTCGTTAATGACATCCGCCAAGCGTTTCTTTCTTTCCTCACTCCAGTTCCATACAGCGGCCCATCTTTCACTCGTATTCTTAATGTCCTATGTAAATGGAAGTTAATTACATGTTAAATTTAATTTCTTTCAAAATATCTCATAATTGTTATAAATTTCGCATTCGGATTGGTTGGGAGAGCATGCTTTGTGAGAGCACACAGTACGCATGCGCCCTTGTGTGCAGTTATAAAGCATGCAGGGATGGGAAGAACACTGGAGAAGTGTCTCCTAACACTTCTCTCATGTTCTGCCAATTCCCGCGTGCTTTACAAAGTTGTGTCAAAATTACAGACAGTAATAAAGAAAGAATGTACTAAAGATATCAATAGAAAGAGTAGTTTCCATTACCCTGGGGTCCAGAGGTTATTTATTTTCCCTTCGGCATTTGCTGTTTGTTTGTTTGTTTTTGTTGTTTGTTGTTTTAAAATCTCTGAACCCCAGGGAAATTTTCAGCTCATAGCAAGCAAAATAAGAAAAATGGCATTAAATAAAAAATTGATTTACGAAGATCCGTATGGTAATGTGTTGGCTCTCAACAACTCAAACCTCTTAAGTTTCCTTATTGATAGAATGCATATAATGCACTACTTAGACGATACGACGGCCAACTTAGATCGCAAGGCATTATGGGCCGTCCAGGGGACAGTAATAGCGCCGATCGATATGAACAGCTCTTGACAAGAGAATACAACAAAAGATGAATTAAGACGGCATATCGATCACCTTTACCCATAAAAGAAAGACAAACACACGAAACTCTATATACTTTCTGTCATCTTTGTTTTGTTTGGCCCCCTGAAAATGGCTGCCCTATTGTTGAATTGGTCCACTGAAGTACTTTTCTAGCCTTGAATAATGTCTCTTACCTCCCTCAATCTATCGTCTATCACAGGATCATCTATATCAATGTCTAGTATCATGTTAATCGTAGAGTACGCACCCACTTCCTTATGGAATTCCTATGAAAACACAACAACAAACTCAGAACTATTTTCAAAGCACAGGTCAACACCCATTTAATAGGCTGTCTTCGTGTTACTCAAATACTGCTGTGTTCCTTGATTACAGCCACATTTACTCAGGGTTAGCCTTGTATCAGTGTCTAAACATTCACTAATATCAACGGTAAAGTAAAGAATGTACAACTTCAACAATACGAACACTTTGAAATTCCACGGACCTTCACTGCAACACGTGAATATTCTGTAAAAACTTGAGGCTAACCCTGAGCAACAGAGAACTGGAAACTGGAGTACACTACTGACAACTGGATATATTTCTTGGCATCTCATTCACATGCAGACAAGATGCGTGCTAGCAGAACGCAAATCTTAAGCAATGGTAGCAATTCCTTTAGGTCCAACAGCCTGACTGCTTTGCTACAATAGACTAACTAACTGTTGGACTAACAATAGACCCCTCTAAGAATTATCTTGGGTACAAGGCTAACATGAAATCAAAACAAATTTGTACTTTATAATTTCATAAATAATAAAGAAGTCTTCCAGGATAATTTGAGCTTGAGAGGGTTCCCTTTGCAACTCCTCATTATACGTTGTGCTAGTTTGAGACAAATTGCAGCATTTTTCGTTTGAAAGTGTCGTGTTTGTCAACGTTTAAGCCTGGTTTTCACTAGTGACGCAAGCATAAGCATAAGCAAAAGCAATGACTCCATACAAACACTGCTTATTCTTACGTTTCTCAGTATTTGTATGCAGTTCTTAATGGCGTCTTTCTTTCTTGTTTGCTAGATGCACAAGTGTCCATGGTAAGAGGGCTAGAGTTAGAGTAAGTTATGGTATGGCAAGAGTATGTCCTTACCAGATGGTCATTGTGCTGCTTTGACACGCCATCTCTTGTGGGTGCAATGTCATCCTCGAGGTCTATCCTGGCTTCCGCACGAATCAGCCAGTCATGAAGTCTTTCAAGATGTTGCTTGATCAGTATGATATAGATGTTGAACAGCCTGGAATGACAAAATATGGATCACTGATTGGTTAACATGATAGATTGAAATGTCTTTCTTATTTAGGCATACTTTTTTATGCATGTCTTCCTGGGTTTGTCTAAATGGTGGGTGATGATAATGAAGTGGCCTGTGATGATGATGATAATGAAGACAGTGGTGGGTGATTATAATGATAATGTCGAAGACAGTGGCCTGTGATGATGATAATAATGAAGACAGTGGTGGGTGATGATAATGATGATGTTGAAGACAGTGGCCTGTGATGATGATGATAATGAAGACAGTGGTGGGTGATGATAATGATTATGTTGAAGACAGTGGTGTGTAATGATGATGATGACGATGAAGACAGTGGTGTGTGATAATGATGATGATGAAGACAGTGGTGTGTGTTGATGATGAAGACAGTGGTGAGTGATGATGATAAAGACAGTGGTGTGCAATGATGATGATGAAGACAGTGGTGTGTTATGATGATGAAGACAGTGGTGTGTGATGATGATTTTAGCGGTGATGATGATGATAATGGTGGGTAATGATGATGATGGTGATGTTGATGATGATAAAATGATAAAGGTGGATAATGAAGATGGTGATGAAGATGATGGTAAAGAGTGGTGAGTGATGATGATGTAGACAGTGTTGGGTGATGATGATTTTAGTGATGATGATGATGATAATCGTGAGTAATGATGATGATGTCAATGAAAGGTAGTGATGATGATGTTGATAGTGATGATGATGTTGATAGTGGTGATAACTTTAGTGATGGTGATAGTGTTGCTGCTGCTGATAATAGCAGTGATCAATATCATTATGATTGCAACATTTAGTGATGATTGTGATGCTAACTTCACGTAACAAGCTCTTACTAATAGTTACCTCTGAAGTTCTTTCTGCAACCATTCTCTGAGGACATGAACCCTCTCTTCTAATCTGTCCATTCTTCCTTGATAGTAGTCCTTGTCCAGCTGATCAAAGTCTTCTTCTTCAATGACTTTTTGTCCTTCGTTGAGCAACCCAAACACATCGAGTTCGATCTGATCTCGCTCAAGCACTAACAACTGATGTGGGAAAAAATCCACAAAAGTTTATTTTTCCTAGCTTTCTTTGCATTAATTAAAACATGGTACAGCAGGGGGGAAATAGCAAGATGTACTATATACATCAACCCGGGAATATTAACCATATAACAAATAACTTCTGCAAATACAACTCTGAGCAATCGGGTAGGAACACGCCCTAGTAGTAGGAATCCTTTCCTTTACAAATAGGGCAAAGTATGGGTTCCATTATAACATCAATCCAACAAAAAAATTCCATACAAATAAAAAAACGCCACCACTTTTTGTCCTTCGTTGAGCAACCCAAAGACATCTAGTTTGATCTGATCACGCTCTTTGCCATCACATCTCACCTTGAGTTCATCGAGGCTTTCCTTGGCTGATCTCAGATCAACACTCTCACGGTCTTTCACCTTGGCACGCTCTTCGAACTCACAAACAATCATTTCAATTTGTCTTAGATTGTCATCAAACCCAATACAGCGTTCTGACTTGGGTTTCCTACAAGTAAACAAGTTCCTCTTTTAGTATCATGGTTGAAACCAAATTGAAGGCTGCAAAGAAACAGGCATCTCTATGGCAGGAGAACACGAGAGAACACAAAGTCTACTTAAACTCTACCTAAACTCTAAATTATACCTAAAAATATACGATACCCTGAAATAACCCTCTGGGCTGATCTTTGTCGGGTCATGACCAATTTATACAGAATTAGAATTTAGCATGTACAGTTTCGTGTAGAGAAGATAATCGAAATATTTTAAACATGAGAAAGAACTAACAAATCTTAAACACAAAATTGTACCTGCTCGCGCCTCCAAGCTGCCACATTATCTTCATTTTGTACTCTAACTCTTCCATTCTTTCCTTGAATTCCTGCTGTTTCTTGCTACTGAACAGCGCATCTTCCATCATAGCACGACCAAGGCTGACAGTGCCATATATCTGCACATCAATGTCTTCACACTCCTTCACCAACTCCTGTCATCAATAAACACATACATTTAGAAAAAGTAACATCATTTTCCATCACTTCCAGATTAGGAAACTATTTGTACCTTGTCCTCTTCGTTGGCTGAATATCTGATACGAGGTTCGATGTCAGCTACACTTCTCTCGACTTTCTTCAACTTGTCATCAAAGTACTTGTCATAGTCCTCATTGCTATGGAAAATGAATAATATTAGTGAGTATTAAATATCTGTTATTAATCACGAGAAGCCTAAGCAGAAACAGCACTTACCCGCTCAGCTTCCTGATTGGCCAGCTCATCAACATCTTCATTTTTCGATCAATGGCATCGATTCTCTGTTGGTAGTGTTTTTCTTTGTTCTTGTTGATCAGTTTGTCTTCTATCATTGCATGACCGAGACTTACAACACCGTACACCTTTGTCTCGAGGTCATCTCGCTCAGAACACAAGTCCTGGAAGAATGTAAACATAAAGTCAAGAGTTTTTTCCAAAGGAATTGTTTCATGTGTTGTTCTCTCCCTTCCCAAGATGGGTTTGCTCCGAGTACACAAGACTTCATCCTTCAAAATATTCCAGGAAATGGGCATCCTTAAAAATCCGTTTATTCTGCTGTTTGGGCTGTTATTACCTTTATTTCTGCAGTGTCAAGATTCTTTTTCCTCAAACGTGGCTCAAAGTTCGTCACTTCAGACTCGACCTCCTTCAATTTTTCATCGAAAAACTTATCATGATCAGATGGACTCAAAAGAACACTGAAATACAACGGTGTCATGGATTAAATCATTTGCCAAACATGATCAACACTGTTTCTATAATAAGATATATCACTATATCCGTAACAAAAAATGGATTCAAGCATAGTGCATTTTGGTCTAGCCTGGGTACAAAAATCTTCTGCTCGTCATGTCTTATACTGTGTTCTTTATATTCAAGATAGATAACAATCCTTCCTGTTCTTGAACCCAGAAAATACCTAATTGAGTACCCACAATTCCAATACCTTTTGCTTCCCTTAATGGGCCACATCATCAATATTTTCATCTTCTGTTCTAGTTTTTCCATTCTCTGTTGGAATTCTTCCTCTTTCTTGCTGCTGATGAAC